CTTAAACTCGATAGCCTATATTAATGCCTACATGGGCAAAGCTTATTTGAGTACCTCGACGTTATTTAAACGCTTTTTTTGTCAGGGGAAATTCATCAAATGACTTCTTCCGCTCAGGCTAAGGCGAGAGAGACCTGACAACTCCCCCCCCGCCCCCGTTTGTTCTCCTTCTTTAGGCCGTGGCCACGATGCCCCATTGCGCTTGCCCCGCTTCCGCTTGGCTCTTTGAGGCGCGCGCTGAATGCTCGGGTCTGCTTCTGGTACGTTATTTAAACGCTGCTACCTTATCAGGGGTCTATGTTACAAACAAATCCGACAGAGAGTTCGAATCTATTCGATTTTCAACATTTTTTTGTCAGTTACTATATCGTGTGATGCCTATACAAAATTTGTTCAGTTGACTGCTCAAAGCCGTTACGGGTTCGGCGGTCCAGTTGTGACTTAACCCATTGAATGTCGGTTTATAAGACACAATAGAAAATATATTGTGTCTCGCGTGGATCCACGTTTAAGCCATACGAAAGGTTAAAATTACTGAACGTTTTCTCAGTTAATTCATGTGAGTAAGTGGTTTAACTCATTAAAAAATATCCGTAGCCGCTGGTTACCATGTTTACCATATATGTATCATATCATAGCTAGCGTAAGGTGTAACATTAAAAACGTACACCAAAGGCTATTACGCTATGGTAAGGAACGAGAGGAACTGAAAAGTTGTCTCCCCATTCAACAAAGCAGTGATGCTTGCAAAGCAGGAGGTTCAGCTCGCGAGGGAACTAATCTCCTCAGACCCCATCTGATGCAATAGATACTCCAAGCTTCTGGAATCAGGGTTGCGGGATAAGCGCAATGAGTCGGCCACGGCCCAGAGCAGGTGAAGGAATGGGGGGGGTTTTTAGTCAGTAAGAGTCTGACACTGCATCCCACCCGACCATGGGTGGGCGAAGACGTTTGATGATTTTTCTTTTTTCTTTCACAAGGTTACAAAGTTTTCCACACCTATTCCCCTTAAGTCCGGTATGATACCATGGCATCACAGAAAACTGGTGTGAGACAGCCACAACGTTGTGTTTCGCCGTGTGAGTGAGGTTGCTGGTGGCCCAATCCTTCCTCTCCCCCAATCCCTAATCCCCAAAAGGTCGGCAACGTACTCGTAACTCTTCTGTTGCTTCTTCTGTTGCGATTGTCCTTGGGCGGCGCTGATTGCCGACCATCAGGTCATCCCTCTGCTGCGATCGGTGAGCAAGCAAGGTTAGCTCGCCACCTAAGCAGAACTGGACCCCAGCGTACGGCGCGTAGTATTAGACCACCAGATGGGGCCTAACAGAGTCGTTGTTCAGATCTACCCCATTTAAAAATATATTCCTATTATCATTTGTATTGTACCTATACAAATCAAAATGCATCATACAAATAAAAATTAATTTTATATTAACATTAAAAATTAAGTTAAAAATAATAAGACAAAAAGGTCGGTTCCACCGCTCCCTTGTAGATTTCAGAGTGTTCATGCAAATTACGATCCGTATTCAAACATTTCAGTACTGCCCAGAACCGGTGAATCAAGCCGTAAGATACCTAAGTATATTTGGCGAGGTCGGTTTGAAAACTTTGTGATATATATAATTTAGTTTCAATTTCCTCGCCTGTTTTCAACATCGGAGGTCTAAGCAGCTAGTTGTAGCGTTAAATACATTCGAAGTTTAAATCCAATTCATCTAAGATCGGCCTTTCAAGCGTGATTGTGGGGTTCATACAGTCTTCTCGCTTTTGTTTTGAGACTCTCGTCGATAGCCAACCGAATTACCACAACTCACGTCTTAGTTTTGAAAATTTCTTGGCGTGATACTTTATTATAAATTAGTCCTTTAAATATTAGAATAAGGTTCCTTCTTGCATGAATCTTCCAACAAAATTTCGTTTTTCCTTTGTGGAGGTCATTTTTCGCAGCACAGTACTTCAAATTGGTTCTTGCCTTGATCAATAATTTATTTAAGTATTTTTTTCTTGTATGTTCTTCAAAAAATTAGGAAATAATTCTCCAAAATTTGCTCAAACTTGTCAAAAAACCTCTAAAATACAAGTATTTACTTTTTAGCACTGATAGTATCGGTAATCCGTTAAGATTACTAGATTTAGTCATCAGTTGTAAAAAAAATACTAATGCTCTTTATTCGTTGACCAATCACAATCAAATTTTCGTTTCATTTTATTTTATAAAATGGTTGTAATAAGTTTTTCTTTCTTTATTTCATTTCTTATCCTCTTATTATCTGATATAAGATGTCCCAAGAACAAGTCGTTCGTTAAGGTCCAAATCGTTCCAATTAGATAATTCAATCATATTTCAGGGAGGCCTGATCATTAGTCGCAGCCATTTTTCTTCCGAATTTAGGACTCCGTAAAAGGACCATGACATGACCATGACCATGACATGACCATGATTTGTTTCCAATTCATTGTCCATCCGCACAATCTTATTGCCCGCAGTCTTCACCCCAAGATGGCAAGAAATGACTCCAAAAGTCATAGCAATTTTTGTTTTTATTCCCTGTCTAAAACCCTTATCACTTTCTAATAGTTACTGGAATATTGATCGTGGTAGGAATAACTTAGTACTCTTGAACTAGATACCCTAATATCAGACCCTCCTATATTTTTATTCACAGTCATTAACCATCTGTTCGGTAGACCCCGAGTTCCCTGCCAATACCAATAATTACCGGTACCTTGTCAGTTGAGTCACCATCTGTAAATAAATACCAAGTTGTAGGGCACATTTTATAAATTTAAATTAATAAAAGATATATTATTCAAAAGCCACTTTAAGCCATTGAAGCTATAGATACAAGTATAAGCTTAAAAACGTTCTATAATTTGTAGCTGTTATTAATTAGCCTTTATTGAGCCCAAGACGCAACTTTCGCTTTCCTAAAAAGCGTCTTTAGTAAAACATGTCATTTATTATTATCGTAACATAATTTTTAAAATTCAAATTTCTTTTTTTTTTTAGTTAGGCCGCTTTTTAATTAAGCATGCGGTATGTTATATCATAAAGTTAATTCTACAGTCGCATTTGCATATTCTTAAAATAGCAATCTATTATTGTTATGTAGCATATCAATTAATTGATCAACAATTATCATATAAGAATTACTAAGATTAGATTAGTGGGGGTATTGTGTGTACCAATGGAAAATACAGTAGGATCAAGTTTTCAATCCAAACTCAAAGAGAGTCAGTTTTACAACAGAGATTTAGGTATTGTATGATAATATACCACGGCCCTGCCCTGCAGGAAAAGGAACCTGGTGTTTTTGTCAGTAAGCTATCACCCCATTCAGGCCGTGAGAAGACATTTTATTATTTCACCCTTCAATAAAATGTAATGTGTGTGCAGAAGTGTGGGAGAATCATGTTTCGACACGAATGAGTCGGCTCAGCCGGACTAAAACCGTGGTCTCACTGAAAACCGGCGTGAAAAACCATAACGTTATGTTTCGCCGTGTGAGTGAGGTTACTGGAGGCCCAATCCTGCCCCTCCCCCAATCTTTCATCAATTTATAAATCTCCAAAACCCTAATCCCTAAAAGTTCGGCAATGCGTGAAACTCCTCTGTTGTTGCGGATGTCCGTGGGCGACGCAGATTGCTTTTGCTTACCCTTCGGTTATTCGGTTGCTCGTTTGCTGTCCTTTTACTTAAAAATGAGGTTTCAAGAAACGAGTATCACTTAACATTTTGACAGAGACCCATCTTGATAAATCCGAGCTTGATCAGATCTTGTCCCTATCGTAAGTCTGGCAGTTGCCAGTCAAGGTTTGTAAAGTTCCTATAAGTGAGCTGATTCATGTGACAGTAGCTTGATTACCTACTTATACAGGTGTAACTTTAGTATCATGTTGAACAAATATTATTTACGTAGGTGTAGTAAAATGATCATAATAGTTTAATTCTCGAGCTATAAACATATAATAAACAAATAGATAATCTTTATAGTACACAAAAGGGTATAATGTCACGCGAATCAAATATTATTTTCTATTCAGCCACTTAATATGGAAAGAATCTTGATTGACATATTATTATTTTTTATTAGGCGTAAGCGATAATGCGACCTACGTTGGAGTACGCAACCTATTCACTTTAGCCTTGAAGACACCTAGGTTCTTAGAATAATTCGTTATTCTTATCTCATCCGTTACTGAAACCCTAGAATATCTTGATGTTCAAGTCAGTTCATTTTTCTCTTAAAAATAAAATTAAATATTCTTTGTCAATGTCCATAATCATATCTAAAACCACTTCCTTTCTTTTGATTGATAATAAAAAGTGATATTTTATTTAGGAAAATAGCTTCCGCCCGCGGCTTGTAGTTTAAGTTAGTTAGCGCTGGTAGATACAAAGTAACCTATATGTGCTAAACATTGTATTACCTATCTACATACCAACCATACTAATCAAATCGGTCCATCCGTTTTTGCGTAAAATAATAACTAGCATACATCCCTACATTCTCAAAAACTTTTGTGATAGTATTAAAAATTTGACAACTTAAACGACGCAACAAATACCATACTCTGAATTTGTTAATATCCTTCCTGAGTAGGCAAAAAACCTCGCGATTATAAAAATGTTTAGTCTATGACGGCACGATTTCTTCTCAGTACAACTTCTTTATTGATTTACAGATATAAATAGCCAAGAAAAAGTTGGTGTGGGGAGTTTTCTTTAAGGAATACGTTTTATAACAACATTTTCCCTTCAATTCAACGTCAAAACAGTTTATAAATACGGTTGTTGGTTTTCGCTTTTATTTCACTACCAAATTTCGTGATCAGATTGCCTGTGGCGCCAGTGTCTTTCTAGGATGAGTCGCGTATAGTGAAATTGTACGAATTTTCATTAGTTCCAATTTTGCTCACCTGAACTGATAACGTGGTGAGGTGAGGCTATACATAAATGTTATAAGGATATGGAGCTTCTACTGCAACTGCGCGGGCCGGGCATAAATCAATTGAAGAGGCGTCGCCGACAAGTCCGGTTGATTTGCTGTTGTGCTGTGTCTCCGTGTTACTGAGGCCTAACATCATCGCAATGGATATTGATCTGACTAGTAAGTACAACTTTGATTATTTATTACTAACGTAGGGAATATTTATATTGAGATAATGTGAATAGATATTGAGCCTCGGGCTTTGGGTGGCTGCCGATGCCAATGTGTCATGGCGACGGCTTATCTCTTTGCGTTTTATTATTTTAATATTGATGCTGTACTCGATGCTCACTTGCGAAGATGCCATAAAAGCGATCGTGAAAAGTGCGTTATGTGTTATATTTCTATGCTCAGCAAAGTTCGAAAAAAAATCAATACCCATCAATAATAGTTTGAGCTCAAGCAAATGTTTTTTTTTATTATGTAAAATTTGTGCATATTTATATCTTTATGCAATGGCGAATGAAAAATAAATATGTTATCAGCAGACAAGCTAAAGTCGTAAATTTTATTCTACATAGGCGATCGGCCATCTTGTTTTTTCGCCCAGTTATCAATCAGTGTTACGCACACAACTAACTCCGCCCACAATGAGTATTGTGTGATTACTATAACATTAACATTTGGAATTTTGAATTTTTCAGACGTGCTGGACCTGGAGGACTGCGATGTCCTCATGGAGCGAGAAGAAGCGGAGCAAAAGTTTGCTGAGAAGATGAGCTCGGTCGTAGCCGTGGCTGGGACGTACATACGGGAGAAGAACACGATCGTGATCGCAGCTATCTGCAAGGACCCCGAGAACGTGGTCCGTGAGAAGCTGGACGATTATCCTGAGGATCCCATCGACCCTCGGGAACTGAAGGATCTAAAGGACCTTATGGACTTAAAGGATCTTAAGGATTTCAATGAGTTGAAGTACTTGAAGGATGTTAAGGATCTGAAGGATTGGAAGGAGTCCAAGACTCTGGAGCTGCCGCGCAAAGACAAGAAGAATGAGTAATCATTTAACGACCTTGTATTCATGCAGCGCATGAATTCGTATGTGTGTGTGATCTCTTCTCTATCTACCCCTTCTATCGTATATTTCCTATTCCATTGACAGAGTTAATAATTGAGTAAGACGACAGTCTTTGTACTAATACGCTCAACGTCTTTACATTATGTAAACGAATTTTGAATTAAGAACAAGACCTTAACTCTGTCCCCAAACTTTCTACATTCTTGATGGAACGCCAGATCTTGATGTATGTGTGTTTTAGTATTTAAGTGTGTGACATGTGTTATTTTGTTTATGGCATATCAGGCCAACGTATGTACAAGACTTGTATTTATTTCAAATGAGTACTATTTTTATATTGATTATTTTACATTGTGTTATTAACTCTACAGGGTCGAAAAGATATTTTTCATTTAAGATCATTCTTTGTAATATTTTTAGATCGAAAATGAACTTTGTTTTTGAGTTAAACCATGTATCAAGATGTACTCTTCACTTTTGACACTTTTATCAAATAAATCTTTCTAAATGTGATTGGTTTTATTGTGTAACCTGCACCACAGAGACACAACTACATGAATGATGTAGTTATTGATAACTATACAAGGATGACAATGAAAACTCATTTGCCAAAGATAATATTAATAGGCAATAAACAAAATTTACTCACTATACAATCCTTGTACATTCTTAACCTTATAAGGCAGGTTATATTAAATCTACAAACATAGATAACATTTTAATTTAAGAATAATCATAGCAGGTAACCTTTTGTTATTGAATTGCGACATTGTTTTGTGTAAGTAATGTGTAATGTAACATCAATATTTATTTCGTCAATGTAATAAATAAATGAACTTGGCTTAAGCCTTAAGCCCATTCAATTGTATTGGGACAAAAATATCTTAATTATTCTCACAAGACCGACTAAATATAGTTATCAAAATGATGGGTATTTTATTAAATTATGAATAAATTGCTGCATGCTAACAGTACCATGTCGAAACTACACTAGTTATACATTATTTTTTTGCTTCTACGTAAAGGAAAATATTAATAAATAGTTTTAATGATGATCCAATATGTTATTACATATTTTAAAGGAAACAGAGTCCATTGTAGTTGAATTTAAGTATAATTTTGGAAGGTTTATCTAAGTACATTAGTACTAAAAAAAAGTTACTTGACACTTTCTAAAAAGCGAAAGAGGCGACATCTGATGGTTTGAGCGAGCAACATTTATCTTTATTGCAAAGTAAACTTGCAAGGGTCTGTTTGTTGACATTCGTTTTGAAGCTAGAATCCGTCCGCGGCTGGATAAGTCCTTTTCGGTCCAGTATCAAAGAGTAAAATTGCACTTGCGCACAAACTATGTGCATCAATCAATAAGAGGAATTCAAAATCGCATTGTTCGAGCGTCATTTTAGCCATCTTGCTGCCGATTCTGAGAAATATCTTCACTTATTTATTAATTTGTTGTAATCGTCGAAATATATTTCGTTAGGTATGTATTTTGGTGTTAAGTTTTTACTACTTGTAGTGTTATGTTAAGCAGTGATTGTGATTGTTTGAGATTAACCGGCGAGTTGATAAATTTTCTTAATCTTTCTGAGATTCTTAATCAATTTTGGTCTGGACATTGGACGAAAATACTTTAAAGATTCATTAGTGTTGTGACGAATAATATCAATTACAATAATGAGGACTTAATTAAAGAGTATTGATGGTTTCGAATAAAAGTTTGAAATAGTTTTAGTTATTCGTAATTAGTGACCGTTAATGGTAATTGAGTGAGTGTGTGTAATTGTGTGTAGTGTATATTGTCACGTGACGAGGTTTGTGGTTTGTTTGTGGTCGTGTTTATATCGCTCACAGATTCATATTATTGTCACATGTTTACATAATAGACGAGGGACCATTTTGATGTTATTAGAATCTATTGCCGGTATACATATGCTTAAACGTTATGCTATTAATTAAGACTTGGTTTAAAATAGAAAGATAAAAAAATATACGGTCAAGGAAAACATCGTAAGGAAGCCTGGTCTTATAAATTTGAAATCGCCAATCCAGCCAATCAGCGTGGTGATTTATGCTCAAATCCTCTTCACGTGTGGAGTATTAATTTAAGTATTAATTTTAAGTAATTTGCTTAGGAGTAGGCACTAATATGCTGATGATGTGATGTGATGTGATATAAAAATCACGGAATTTGACTTGCATTACTTTATGAAGACCAAGGTACTTTATCATACTGCGAAAAGGGTTCGAAGAAAGTTTGAGATTGTTTAAGACAGCGTTGTGTTTCGCCGCGTGAGTGAGGTTACCGGAGTACCAATCCGTCCCCTCCAATAAGGTCGGTAACGCACTCGTAATTCACGCGAGGATTTACTCGCTGCTCGGCTCCATTTAAGTATAGCGTAATGTTTTATACCCTATAGCACACGGGAACATTGTAGCTATCAATTAATAAAAGAATTTCGGAAATCCGACCAGAGGTTCCAAGGTTACCCGCTACATACAAACTTACAAATTTTACCTCTTTATAATATTAGTATAGATATAGATTACTTTCATAGTGCCATTGTTTATGTTTTTCTGCCCGATCAAAGATCAGTATATACTGGTTGTATAGATATTTATAAGTAGCTTACAGCACGAGTTTTTTGCCTGCAATGTCCCACTGCTGGGCAAAGGCCTCCCCATCTCGCTTTCACACCTCCCGATCTTTCGACCGTGTCCACCAGTCTCCATATTAGGCGTCTAGATCGTCACGCCATCTATTCCAGAGTCTACATTCTACAACGACTGCGGCGTCCATCCTTACGTGTCCACTGGGTGACGATATAAAGTCAATTATAATAAACTAAAATACAAACGCACATTCCGATTACACTAATACCGAAAACAATACAAATACAAAACAGGCCACTAACTTCCAATTGTTAACATGTTTCAGAAATGACCACCCAGCACCAGATCAAGAACAACAGCAGAAGGATCAGAACCCAAGAGTATGCAATGACGTACAACAAGGACGCCTTGAAGGACGAGGCATTCAGTTACCGGAGTGACATCATCACCACATCCCTGTACTGCGCTTGCAAGGACTGCATCAAGTTCTGTTGCTACGGGAAACCCGTCAAGTGCATTGACCCCTACCTCATGGACATGCGGTATACTTTCTGGATCTACCAAGGGCTGGTGAAAGCCAGTAAGACTACTACAACTGCTGGTAAGTCGGTTGGTAAGTCTACTGGAGTTGCCACTGCTGCTAGCTGTGAAGAGCCCAATACAAAGCGCCGTAAGTGCTAAATTAGTTTAGCAATTCAAGGTTCAATGTGGTTTTTCTAGTCGCGGCAATGGAGGTGGGTTTGCAACGTAAACTACAGGATGATTTTGTTTATAGAACGCGTTAAACGTTTCAAACGTTTGATAAATAGGACTGATTGTCGTGCCAAAATGTTATCCATTCTAATATAATTTTGTATCATATAGCACATACATATATTTAAGCGAATACTTTGCCTAGCGGAAAGATTGGGCCTCCGGTAACCTCACACGGCGAAACACAACGCTATGGATGTTACACGCCAGTTTTCTGTGAGGCAATGGTATCACTCCGGTCGAGCCCACCCATTCGTGCCGAAGCGTGGCTCTCCCACACTTATACACACAATTGTTCCATAAAAAATAAAATAGATAGTAGGTCAATGACATTCCCTAAGAAATTATACCGAAAACTTAGTGATAGATCTGAAGCCTGAAAAAAGGTATCTGTAAATATTGAAGTGACATACATACATAGATGCCATATTATTGTTATTGACTTCATTACTACTTGTATATAACTTGATTGACTTTAATTAAGCCGTGACTGAAACCACAGTGTTCCATGTTAACTTTTTTAACTTATAATAATAACGACTTTTACACTTAGTAAGTTCCTTAAAATAACACCAATTTAGTAATAAGTCACTTATACCTATCTTGTTACCTAGTATTGGCTAGATTGAGTTTTTCGAATGCTGTATACCTCTCAGACAAGTTACCAAATATCTTTTTTATTATATTCCAAGTAATTTTACAATTTGGAATTTGTTTTTCTACAATTGTTAAGTTTTTATTGTCATTTGATGGCCATTGTTTTAGTTTTAAGATGTTTAAGTTAAGGTGACAGTTTGATAGATGTTTTTGTGTTCAAGTTAACTACGTGATTTTTGGTAGTTATAATGTTAAACATTTATGCTTCCATTTTGTTAAGTCTTTAGTCAAAAAGGTCTCCCTAACATTGCTGTTTATTGGTTTCGACCCTCGTTTGTTTCAAGGTTACTAAGGATTGACCTTGATTTGGGGTCCATTCGTACCCTATCGAAGGGTGCGTATTGCGTCACTATAATTTCTGTTGTGAGTTGACGAATCACTGGACTATAGAATATCAAAAACAATGTATTAATATGTGTACCTAAAATTTGTTAATGCTTTAGTATTTAAATAGCTGAAATAGGTAAATCAAATCTACAATAATCATTGTGATTTACTTAAATACAATAATTGAAACTGAATTAGAAATGATGGCTTAGGTTAGACACATTTTGTTATTAATCATTTACAATAATTATTTATATAGGTACTACTTAAATGAATTTACTGCCAAATGTTAAGGTAAGGTTAAAATAAGTAATTCAATAAGACTGTGTTATGAACCAGATATTGGTGGAGAACAGCGCAAAGAAATCTGGATTAAATATGAGTATGAAAATGCCAATCCGCTTAAAGTGAATGTGGTGATTTATGCTTAAGTATATCTTCACCGTTCAGAAGCCACGTGTGCGCAACGTTGGCCACTTATAGGCTGATAATTATGCTACTCATTTCAGATGCCATTAAAAAGACCTGACAACATCCAAAATACAGATCTAACAGATTAAAAAGATTCTTACTTTACAGATTTTTATAAGTGTTCAATAATTATTAATGAGTTTTTGTTAGTCAGCGGTTTAAGAAATGTTGTATTTGGTTAAAATTACAACATTATGATACGCCCAATTTGATTTACTTTAGATTACATAGTCTAACTTGAATAATTAAATTTAAAGTGTATTTTGACTGCATATTCAGTCTTATAAATTCTATATAGGAGATATTATTTAATTTTAGTGTGATTTATTTTTTATTTTTTCTATAATATTTATCTATTTTTTAAATATTTGATATTATTTAGTTGACATGTAGTTGTTTTTAAAATTCTATTTAGAAATGGTTCCTAGAAAATTTTATTTTGTTGAAAATGATTTGTAAAACCGGTTGGATATGAAACCTCAATAAAAGTATACTAATGTTTTTTGTAATTCGACGTTGACCTAATACTTCTATTAGCTTACTAATAGTAATAGGACAACAGACAAAAAGTAAACGTTACATTTTTTACCTTATTTCCTTTATCATAAAGTAGAAAATAAGTAGCGTAGTTTTTTTAATATTGTAAGAAGGTGTATAAACATATAATCACTTTTAGAAACTTATACATTAAGGAACTCATTCTTGTTCCTATTTTTTTTCTAATAACATAAATATGTATATTAAATTGTGATTACCTACTTATGACATTATCTAGTTGTGATATATTTTTACTTTCATGTATCACGGCAATATAATATGTCCCTATTGAAAAATTTGTGTTTTATTTGTGTACAATCAAAGTCAAAGTTAAAATCAGTTAGACCCTTACATGCACTTTTGAGTGTCAAACAAAGATTACATATAAAAAATTACAGTCTGTCAGTCAGTTTTTTTACTAAAGCTTACAAAAACTACATGGAGAACAAGCAAGAAACTCCATAGTTGGGTAATCTTTTTCATGTTTAATTTTGAATTTAATTTAATTAATGTAGTGTAAAAAGTATTGAATACAATGTAAATAATAAGACTCGCAGGGCACCGTAACGGTAATTAGCCATACAGCGGGTTACCATCATCCCGATTGCTCCAGGGAGGAGTCACCGTTGCTTATCTCCGGCTTGCTTTATTGCCTGGCCGAAGTGAACGATAAGGAGGAACAGGTCTCCCACCTCTGGCTTGCCTTCAATTGCAGCCCAGAATGGAATCGCGGGAGTAGTGATCCTGCTTGGAGGGTGGAAGCTGTTCGTCAGCGGCGAGTGGGCCAGTGATGCAGGATGCTTAGGCAGATGTAGATCTGAGTAGAAAGCTGGTGACAGTTTCTTCACCCTTCAGCCACTCACATTTTCGTTGTCTCTCTGTGGCTATTACTTGTAACCATTCCCGGGGGCCCGGTCAGCGAGTCTCCACCTGCCATTTTTGCGTGTAAAAATTACATGGTTTGGCTGGTGTTATAGTTCCTTCCATACCCATAATAGTCCTACACTTAGAAAGGGATTTTCCTTGGGTGTATTTACATAGTGCATACAGGGATAGTCATCGGTTTGTCACAGAAGGCTCCGGCCCCTCGTACGCCTCCCAAATGACCGGGACCCTGTGGTCCCTCGATTGGTAAAGACATACAAGTAATAATAATAATAATATTCAGATCCTTTGTTACATCATTAATTTGGTTCCATTATATGAAAACAGAGCAACACTAGTTAATATTTAGTAAAAGTAATGGAATAAAAAAATACCCTTAAGGATATTTAGACTTTAGGGAGATGGTACAATCACATTGTTATTTAAATTATTTCTTGACATCCACTACAGCCAATAATATGTAAATAGGATGTCATTACAGCACTGTGTTACCATCGAGCTGGTCTGGGTGGATGAATGGATGGAAGGTTGGGCTGCCTACTAGTCAACCTATTGAACTTCGGCCTACAAGATAATTATGTCAAAAACATAACACTTAAAGAAATAAGTTAAGTTTTAATGATATTTGTTTAGTAATACACCTACCCCTTTGTTATGATTAATTAAGTAATAATTAATTTTATTGCTCAGACATCCAAGTTTTTGAGTAAAGTATGTAGGTATATGAGTTATTAGATGGGGTTTTTCTTTAATTAATAATAACTTTCTTTAAAAATATAATGCCTTGATTAATAAAACTAATGAAACTTTTTCATTATTCTCTTTGTGAATGATTTTGTTTAAGAAAATTTAGTATTGGTAGACAGCTAATTTCTGTTAAGATCTTGAAATGCTTTGTGTGTAACTAAACTATATAAATATAAAAGATCTGTTTTTTTGACTTTTGTCAAAAGAGTGCTGAATTTAGACAAAGAACCTTCATGAGTCGCTACGACGGGTATACAAGGGAATTATTGAATAAAACTCCAGGGTAACTTAAAGAAATTAATATAATTTAAAAAGGCCTGACCAGAAACCGAAACAAAAAACTAAAAATTGAAAAGATATTACATTTTAAATGATACTGATTACATTTTTATATATATGTTACATAATAAACAGAGTGTTAATTAGCCAAAAACATACAGAGTCAGAAGGACACCTTTCATGCCCGAGGAGCATATTTTTGAGTTTGTAAAGTATAAAAACTTTAAGAAATTAAATAAAAATGTTAATGGTATAAATTTTGTAAACATCTCAGTAAATCCGGACCTGCCCTGGATTGGATGACAGTAAATCCAGGAGGAAACCAATCAGAACCTGGATAGCCAGGATTATTATGACAAGCAGCGAGTTCATTTGGAATGACATTGTGGTGTTAACAGCACAACAAGTCCAAATCGAAAAACAAAAATTCCCACAGTTTAGTTGTAATCAGAAGGAAAAGTAAGGCAAGGAGTAGAACCCCAAGTACGGTAAACAAAGACAGGAACAGAACACTGATGAGATGTCCGTTGCCGGTGGTTGGATCAGGAAACACGCCAAGGTCTTCGGTGAGGAGCGCTCCAGTGATCCGGTCCTCCTCTAGGAAGGCCGCTGTTGTTGCACGGCGGCTCCGAGCACCGCCCGGAACACAGAAGTTCAAAAGTAAGGGATGAATGATGAAGGCTTTGGTGATCGCCGGAAAGAATTCGAGTCTTAGGACTCCACTGAGCCGAGATGCTGGTCGCTCAGCGCCTTTCACTGCTCATGCCAATCCGAACACTAGTATATTCCAAGATGACACAAAATGACTGCCCGACGACAGGGACGCGTAAGGACGCGTCGGGATAAAGAGGAGCTGAGAGATGCGCAGATTAATGATTTGCGTCCTTTCGTCGTTTGGTGGGGCGACAAATCACGATCGTTCTTTATGGCGTCACTAAATTGTGATTGGTGATCCTGAATCACGTGACCCAGTGTAAGGAACATTCTGGAAGATTGGTTACCTATTTAAATTATTAATTGATATGTATTGCCCTAAAAAGATTGTGTCGCCTCCGTGGAAAAATGGTGAACCAATTTACGCATGCTAAGCAAGTAATGATTTGGCGAATTTGTTTTTAATAAAATGCTTAAAATTATTATTTCTTTTTTTTCATCTTATTTCAAATTTATTTACACCAGGAATGTATCAAAATGTAAATAGCTTAAAGAATTTTATTACTAATCGCAACACTTGCGCGTCCTTATTTTGACACTTTTCGGTCAAGTCAGACTATTGGTGAAATAATACTGACGGCTGTTGTGATTGGATAAAATGCTAAGGGTTGGTTGGGTTTTTTGGGGGTCTACTAACCAGTATAACAATGCTTTTCTGCCTTTAGTAGATTGTGGAAAGCATAGACATTGTAGTAGCCAAAAATCGCCTAACGCAGATGGACGCTGCGAGAAATTCATCTCAAAAGCATAGAGTATTTTGAGAATAGGTAGAATCGTTTTTATGATTGATATGCTTCCGGTTACAATGTTGTCATAATTTAAGAGATTATATTTAAAAAAATACTTAATTGTAAATCACTGTAAAAAATCACAAGATGTTCTTACGAATGATAAGTAATATCTTAATTTGGAAGGGTATTAAAAAAGAACACTTCTTTCGTGCAACCAAAATTCAGGGCAATTTCTACCATTTTGGAAAGAGGCACGAAATTTGAATTTGTCACGACGTTCCATTGTTTATTTAATAACTTTTATGATATTGCATTGTTTTTCTAGTTCTAATAAAATTCAGTCACGATGTTTTTTCTATATATAGTATTATTAATAATCAAATGTTAATAGAAATATTAAAAAATAAAAAATCGGAAGCATTCCACCTTTTTTGTAAATATTCTAATTAATGAATACGTAACTTAAGTGTACTCATAACAATTTCCCCCAAAACATATTCGGTTGTATTTGCTTTTTTTTCATGATCAGATTACAAAATAATTAGGGAAGGCACGATACCTATTATTTATCATAACATTTTCCCCATAATACTCTTGCATCGGGGTACTTTAATGGTATCAAAAATATGGCATAAGTTTTTCTTTCCCAATACAAGCTGATCAAAAGAACAAAAAGTTGTAAGATAAATTATTTTAATCCTGCTCATTCGTGGATCAAGTGATGTCGAAAAATTCTAACATTAGGATAGCTAACCCCCTATACTTAACTAATCCATGACAAGTCGCAATAAAAGTAAACCTGTTGATTGCCCTTAAAAATGTATGACAATGACGTCAAAACGGAAACCACGTTTTTACTAGTTTGGCAGAATTCGAAAGTGAGTAACACTGCAATTCTTTAATGTGATTGGTTATAAATTTCGGAAACGGAAGCTTAAGCTCCGCCCATCAATCAATAATTCCTCAATACACTTGTGGAAGCTGTTTTCGGACTTTCCGCTGATAAAGCGATTTCATCTTTTGATAAAAGTTTTGATTAATCTCTCAAGACGACGGTCTCAAAGTGAGTAATATCTGCCTGTTTTAGTTAAATCTTGTTGCAGGTAAACTATTATCAATAATACTATTTTAAAACGTACTAAAATCTCTTCAGTTCGAGATTGAGTTCAAGTCATAAAGACATTTTTGTTTGTTATCAAACAATCGCTTTCTAAACATAACTTATTGTGTTTCTAGCTTTTCATTTTCTTGATTAATTTTATCAAAATTTTCAAAGTACTTACAAAGTTAATTTAAATATAATATTCAGAACATATCATTTTTCGCCATGTTGATTTTTATTTATAGACTCAATTATTATTCTTAATTTTCTTTTTCATATCAGCATTTTGTCTCTGAGAAGATTGTTTTTCAATAAATTGATAAATAATTATTTTTATCAGCTCAAAAATCTTCTTGTGGGTGTTTTGATTATCCTAGAAAATGTATAAATGAAAAAATATATTTTTCTATCATAAACCTTTAGATTAACAGAATCGTATTCACAAGTTATTACTTATTTAAGTCATATATATGTATAAAGCAATTCCTGACTCCTCTACTTTGCCTAACTTAATGCTGAGTAATCGCTCTTGCAACAACTTAATCATTAAGGTCGAGATTAAATTCTTATCATCTTCGTCATCATCAGCTAGGAGACTACTACTGATCCAGCTGAACAGAGATTTCCCCTTAATCCTCTAAGTCGAGTCACTAATTGCCACTTCTATCAATTGGCAAGTGGTAAGCCAAGCGATGGGAGTGGCAAGTGACAAAAAACTATTATCTTAGGTAACCTAAAATTCATTTTTTCTTGCATTTTACTTATAGAATTTGGTATCTAATTCCAGGATGAACCTCGCCCAGGCCATCCGGAAGGCGAGGAAAATAAGACAGTATCATAATCATTTGAAAAAAACTCTTTGGCAGTTGATCGAGGTGGTTGACCCATACAAGCCGTGCGATCGTTCGGACGAAGATGAAGACTTCGTGTTTTGTGAATGTGTGGCCGAAGCACTTATGAAGTTGCGGCGAGCCAACCTAATACCAAAACTAAAATCACTGCCAGACTCCGAAGCTGACACCGACTAGGCCTCTTGCGAGCTTTCTATTCATCATTATCTACCTCCTCTTTTTAAAACGATCCTGTTATCTCTCTGTATACAGTTTGTGTTCTAGCCAAACAAAATACTGGCCAAGTCTTCTGTGTAAACCTTTTTAAACACACCCTGTATCTCTTCCGACACATCATTTATATCATGTCACATTTTTGGTGGCTATTCTTTCAATTTATTTTTAAGTTAGCGTATTATTATTTTACTGATTTCATAGTTTATATTATTGTAACATTAATTTTTATGTTTTTTTTCTCTAGGTAATTGATTTTTTTAAATGTTTTATGTTGTAAAACCTAATTTTAATCAGTTGTTAATATACTCATAGTTAATGTTTATAATTTGTTATATTAATTATTTTTAGTGGTTATATGTATATGTTCCTCGCTTTCATAAAATAAACTTTCTCTTCTACCTCTATTCTGTGTTTTATTTGTTTAAATTATGTCGAAAAATATTGACCAAAATATAGAAAACTACTCAATAAAATAAAATAAAGTAGTTTTCTAAGAAAGTTAATGGTCATGAAAATGGTAGCATTCGCAAGTTTCTTTAAATTATTTTCTAGCTTAAATTATTTTAGCGCTTATGAGCACCTAGCACCTTATCTTATATTTAACAAACATCCCAAAACATAGAAAACTTGTGTAACTAAAATGATAATGAATAAACATACAATAACACATATTTAATGACCGAGATCAATTACAAAAGAAAAAAAAACAAACCACGATGCTATTAAAATAATTTTCTCCCTAATTAGTAATAGGAGAATTTTTTTGTTTACAATAACCGACTCTAATTGGGACGGGAGCTTATTAATCTGTAGTCATCTGATAATTGATATCAATATCGTTGTATAAAATAAGGATTATTCGTAGACATTTGTGTAGGAGGTCGACGGTGTTCTCAGTCGGGGAGATCTTTTGTCCAAGCTAAAGACGTCTAGGATCATTACATTTGTACATAATCAGCCTTCGGTAGATGACGTCGTTGAGGCATATTATAATATTTCTATAAGTAACCAAGTCTATGGATACTGTGGAACAAGGAAATAATTTGCACTTGCGCACAAATAGTTTGTGCATCGTCGTAAATCAATAAATAATTTTCAAACGTCTTCCTACATGGGTGGCGGTGTGCTTTTGTACTGCGTGAAATTGTGACATTTCAAGAAGTAGTGTGTCAGATAGCTACCTGTTGAGTGTATATTAAGCCAAGCCGCTGTCGCTACGTAAGTATATGTTTTTATTGTCACCCCGCGCCGAACGGCGGCTACATTGCGTAAAAACAAGTGCAGTAGCAACTTTTAGGATTCTTATATTGTTTCTAAGATTTATTTTTAGCTTAAAATGTCTTCATTTAGCTAATTGCGAGTGTTTCTTATCGCTGCGCGCTGGGTGGTCGTTGCGAACTTACCTGTGCGATTCATGCGTGGCTTCCTTTTGTTTACTTTAAAAAATAATTTAAAATATTCGTAAAACGTCTGTGACAGACTGGTAAGTGCTTTATAATATGTTTAAATTAAATGTTATGTTGTTTTAATAAGAGTTCATTATGAAATATTATATTATTAATAATCCATGCAGCATAAACATGGTTCCTACCTTCATTTTTAAATATTACCAATACGAAAACTTTCCTTACCAATAATTACGCTGCAATGTATGTTGTGTATTATATATGTATACTCAATACTCAACTATTATACCAAATAAAAAAAGTATAATTCTTTGTGATAGCTAATACCAAATATGAAATCCCTAATTGCAGGTAGTTTAGTAGGCAGTGTAGTATCAGTAGTAGGATTTTAATATAAATAATATAATCATTTATAACATTGTTCTATGGTTTATTTTTGTGAAGGGACAAACATCAAATGTCTTCTCTCGATCAAGGTGAGTCGTGAGGGAGTGTCAAACTCTAACTGACAAAAAAAGTCACGTTCCTTTTCCTGCTCCAGGACGAGGCCGCGGTTCCTTATTGCGCTTGCCCAAAAGGGCTGGTGTTCAGCCAGGGTTGCGGCTCAAAAGGGCTGTTGTTCAGCCAGGGTTGCGTCTCAAAAGGGCTGATGTTCAGCCAGGATTACAGGTCAAGCGCAATAATATATCGCGGCTATGGCATTGAGTATAAGATCCTTTTTAAACCACCCTGTTCCTACGGGGCGGTTTTTGAAGGAAAAAGTTCTTTAATTATTTCACCACTCGCAAAATTTCAAAATGCTGCCACAACTAAAGAGTTATTTAGTTAAGAAACCAAAACAAAAGCTGATTGTTAAAGTTAGAATGAAAATCTTGACTTTGTGATCAGCCTCTCAGACAAGACGATTGGCCACCACAGATAGGGTCTGGCGAACATCCGGCGTCGTGGGGACAAGTGCCATATATGGACATAATATACCGTGCCCTCAGCAAGAGTGAAGTCATCAAATGGCTTACAAATGATCTTAAACAAAAGCAGTCCATACTCTTTTTTGTGTTTCGGTTGGCAAACAAGTAGACAGTTCAGTTGACGGTAAGCATAATTACCGTCCAGTGAACTGTCTGCCGAAGCCGAGTTACTAAACTCGGCCCTTTGGGGGTTGAATGGAGTATTTGGGGTATTTGGTAATAAGGGATGGGGTAGGAGAAGGTTTGGGCTTCCGGCCTGGCGGCTCATTCGTGATGAAGCATGGCTCGTCTACAATGAATTAATTATCATACTAAGGGTAAACATTACCTCAAGATCAAACATCGCTCCTGCATTGTCGACCCTGTAAAAACCGTGTAAAGATTTATCCATACAATGGGACTTCAGAATTACTTAGTCAATTCAACCGAGGGCGGTCTATTGTACAAATTAATCTATGTAATCATTTCTATAGCTATATCAATAAAACGAATTCATTCTCAAATTTCAGAATTTTGAAGCGGTGAGCGGCAAAATGCGCACTAGTGAAATGGCGGTGGGATATAGAAAAACACAGAATGTTCCGAAGGAAAACGACGAAGATTTGGACAAGAATTTGGTGACGTCAACACTATACTGCACTTGTAGAGACTGTAAAAAGTATTGTGCTCACAAGAAACCAGTCACATGTATTGATCCCTTCCTAATAAATATGAGACACACTTATTGGATCTACCGCGGTTTGGTCACAGCTAGCATGACCCAACGAGCCTACATGATTAATACGGCCAACGCCCACCAAGGAAACTCAGACGCCAAGGACAATAAAACGACAATAAAAGAAAATAAAACAAACAAATCTAAAATGAAGAAAAAGCCAATAAACAATAATAAAATAAAAACGAAGTAAAAGGATTCCAATTTCAAAACGAAGACACGTGCAAAAAGGTATGTTAACTTAATATATGTCATATTTTTTATATTAATTTAAATTACGACTTGAGGTGAGGCGACGCGAACTTTTATTACTCACGTGATGAGACCACATTCAAGAAAATTAAAATTGTTAAGGTAATTTTGGTAATGCAAATACGACCCAGCTTTATAAAACTGCAGACATTTTTGTCTCTTCTTTGGCAGAGAAGCCTGAAAATACATGTTTTGGGGCAGGTTTTATTATGTCTGATTAAGTTACTGCTACCCTAGCACATTACCTAGACTAGCACATTTAAGCTATAATTATAACCCATCAGTTTACATAATAGAAATTTGATTAAACACCGTGGGATTTATTTGTGGACTGATGTTATACTTGTAAAGCCGTACTATATTGCAGTACATCTCAAAAATTATAGAGTATCGTGACTAAGTTTAAAAAAACTTTAACAATATTTCCGTATCATGATTTATAAAAATAATACTATAAAACTCGTCTCATTTTGCCATTAGACAATCTTACCACACAAGGGTCAAAAGTAGGTTACATTCGATGATCTTATTGACTAAAAAGCCACCGTTTTTTTCTGCTCCAGGCCGCCTTTTGAGGAGCCCCCTGCCTCTATAATATGACACATGAAATACTGTTCTCTTTTTATTTATATTTTTAGATTTAAGACAACTCCATGTGGGTTTTGTCATAAGGTGGTTTTTCATTTAATTTTATACAATTATTATTTGTGTATTCACTGTTCAATTGGTACAATTGTAAATTTTGGGGTTGACGATAATGACAACGTTAATTTATTTTAAATATATGTAAAGAATCACGCGGCTAATGTGGTAATTAAAATGTTAACTTACAAGTCGTATAAAATGTTCTAATAGCTTAGTGAGGGAAATAAAAATAGGCTACAAAAAGATCGATGTAGATTTTATAATTTACAGGGCACCACTAAAATCAATAATGTCTTTTGGTGAGTGTGTGTATGTATAAACCGCTGTCCATACGCCTAGTCTTTCTGACGATGTTATAAGAGCCATACGAAAGGGCTGGTTGTCAATTCTGTACAACAGATGATGATCCATTAGGACTGATGATGACGATTTCAATAGATTCAGTAATAAATAAATTATTTTTACTAACAAATCCGTTGTGATGAAGTTGAAAATTAAAATTTTTACAACTAGCTTCCGCCGGCATGGTATATTGATAAAAAGTAGCCTATGTCCTATTCCGGAGTGTATCTTATGTCTGTGACAATTTCATTCAGATCCGTCTAGCCGTTTTGGCGTGATTGAGTAACAAACATCCAAACATCGTAGCTCTCTATCGCATTTGTAATATTGGTAAGATAAGACAAAATTTAATAATAAATTAAAAGAGAATCAAAAAGTTTCTTATCCTTCTTGTGATGTAGGTAGGGTGCTCAGCATACAGACAGCATAGCCACGTTGAATTGCGAAACTTAATCTATTTATACCCAATGTAGTGACCAGCCTTTTGTTCAACTGAAGTGTCAAACATACTCTTACAAAGAACTTGACCCCACGACCTAGTAATTGTTTCGATTCGGTATTTATTTGAACTTAACTTTGGCCCGCGACTCCGTACGCGTGAAGAGCGAAAAACTATCCTCTGTCCTTTCTCGAGTTCCAAACTATCTCCTTAACAAATTTCAGAGAAATCGGTTCTGTAGTTTAGGCGTGAAGAAAAGACAGGCAGACACACAGACAGACAGACAGACAGGCAGACAGAGTTACTTTCGCATTTATAATATTAGTTTGGATATTTTCATATTACATATCAAGTACTTTATGTTGCTTTATTTCCTACGGGTTAGGCAGATGGGTTTTAAATACCAATGTTTATAGTCTACAACCTGTCAGAAGATAAAAACTTTAACAGACACCCAATAGTAACCTCCTTCATTGCATTATTTGTGAATTTTAATAATTTTTGTTTTTACGTTTCAGGATACCGCAAGGAGTGCATCACTCTGCATTAGAACCTGCTACTCAAACCTCTGTTCTCAATAACTATTTATAAGGAAAGTCGTTTAACTATTTTCAAATACAATTTGAACTAATTTTAGTGAAAAGGAACAAAATAGATCCAAACTGGGCACTTTTTTCTATTTTAGGATTAAAAAGAATAAATTATTATACAATATACTCTATGTATAGTAGATTTTACATAAAATAGTGTTAACACGTAAAGGGTAATAAGGCTTCCAAATAATAGTCAAATGAACAGTATACTAAACCTAAAAATACACTCTAGATATTCCTAATATAGTTTTAATCCATCTACTTTCCTATGAAACGATATTTTAAAAATAGAATAACACATAAATGAAATGAATGGATCCACGTTTTTATAGGTTTATATTAAACATAAAATAGATAATGTAAACAATAAGTTTTAGGTGTTTTTTATAGCAGAATTGTTGATTAAATATTTATTTGTTAAAAGTTTTTTGATAAACTTTTATGGATGATCGAGATAAAAAATTAAATAGACAAAATAGTTTTAAAGTAAATTTTTAAATAGTTTTAATTAAAGTAGATAGGTATGTAACCTTTTTGCACGTGTCTGTAAATGCTTCTTTATTTAAATTTATATGGTACACAGTGGCCAGTGGCTATCCAGATGTAGTGAGACAGGCCATAAAGTATTCGTTTCTTTAATTTTCATTTCACGTAAAAGTTTCTTCTCACCATCAACATTATAAACTATACACCCCAAGACTGATAACTTCAATTTAAACCTGTGTATTTTCAAAAGGGATATTTTGAATTAATTTTAACCTGAATGTTAATTTAAAAAAGATATTTTACCATTTTTATTTAAACTTACCACAGATCTTTCAAATGTAATGGGGATAATGACTTATTTGAATTTGAATTGCTTTTAAAACATAAGACACGTACATTTTTAATATCAAATCAAATTTTATAGATCAAATAAGTTCATTATATATTTGATTTCTTTTAAAATACCGTGTGATATCACGAATTGGTATATTTTACATTAAGTATTGTTTTCTTAGACGACAAAAAAACATTATTTACTTCTAGTTAAAGTTTTTAAATTTTACTTCACCACTTAGAGTTGACCCATAGTTTAACTATGAAACTAATTTTATGTGTTCAATAAAGTATTCAATTGTTTTGCGTTGTAGCTTTAATCAGTATTATTGTACCATATGAAAAATATAGTTACTCAGAGCCTCCATTTAAGTGACAATCGTTAATTTATGATGGTATATTTGTAAGAAGAAGGTGGGTGTATGAAATACGGAAAGTTGTCAAACTTTTTGAAATGTTAGTATTATAATTTATTAATGGCCCTATACTGAAAAGTTTTTCAATTCCAAACCTTATTATTTTGCAAGGCTTCATACAGCTTTTGACATTGTAAAGAAAAAAAAAACAAAGAGACATTTTTCTTTTAGTACGACCACGAAATTTTATTATTTGGGTAAACTTTTTTTGTAGATTTAAGAGTCGTGCAGTATTAGCATTTAGTCTTTATACATATTTAAGAAGTTTTAATCTTCTGTTTTTCATATTAATTAAGGGAATAAGTAGTTATTACTTATGTGTTTGTTGACATCCCTAATTACGGTAGGTAGGGTGTTCATTAGACCATTGTTTTTGTTTTTTAATTTTATTTGTTGTTAGTACTATAAGTATAAGTTTATAGATGATAGAAAATTTGTAGGTATACTTAATTAAGTTTTTCACTTATTTTTCCTTGCCTTGACATGATTGGCTTTTCATATTAAAATTATTCAAAATAGATTACATTAATTTGAACCTTAAAGTAACCATTTACAGATCAAATTTATCACAATAAAAATGTGATACAGTATTCCCCTTACTGTTGTCTCAAACTATAATTTTTAATATGAAAATAGCCCTGTTTATGTCTAGTAATGGAAAGCTTCTAAGATTACTTCTGTAGTAATTTTTTGTATTATTTATATAAGAATATATAACGGTATTATTATTTTGTACATACGTACATACGCCAGCAAAGTTATCTATGCAGGTATGAAAATTGTGATATTTAGTACAGCTGATACAACAATTAATTATTAACTGATGAGCCGAGCGTTAGTTTCAAAAGATATGGTTTTACTGAATCATTCAATGGCACAAATATTTTTAATTAAGGTGACTATTGTCCAGACTCAGGAAGTCTCATCACCGTTGTTCCAGCCCCCGTGCTTCGTCATAAGGATCTGCCGTCCAATCGGATTCAGAAAGCGAGGGCACAGAGAATGTATCTGTGTTTACCTCGTAACAAGCCAGCCTAGTAAGACTGGCTAAAATTAAAAACGTTTCATTACACTCTAATGAAATAAAACCTTCTTAGTTTTTCATACTTGCATACTACATAACTTTGCTGTATATTATTTAATGTATAATAGTACTTAAGGCCCGTTCCAACTCCTTATTAGTTATCGATAGATGTATGAATATAGCGCATCGTTCAAACAAATTTCGTTCTTAATTCAAATTTTTCTAGGCCATAGTAATCAATGGCTATCAAGAAAATTGTGAAAAAAGTTCTTAATTCTAATATTTTTGTGTGACTTTTTAAAAATATTGTACCTTATGTTAAGTACGTTGACTTTTATTACATTAAGTAGGTTTTAATGTACACAAGATATTCATTGTGTTTCGTATTTCCTAAAGCTGTTTTATAATTAAGTTATATATAAGGTTATTGTCGTAAATACCACTCAGTGTTCTTTAGTGCTGGGCACTATTATTAGGCTATTACCCCCTAGAGTATAAGAATACTTATTGCACTGTCATTGCATGTGAAGTGACACCAAACTTTTTTTATAGAAAGGGAGAAAATACTGGCATGCTGATAATAGGGATGATGATCCGGTACAAAAAAAAATCCAAATGTATTCTGACTTGATCATGACGTTTTTTGTAGAAATCAATTTATTATTCGATAAGTAAGTAATTATGTATATGTATATATTTATATCGCACCTACACACGCACGAATCGGTTCGCCAGAATCGCTGAGGATTGGAATGAGGATTGGAATTCTTTCCCGTAGTCTGTATTCCCCTAAGGGTGTGGGTGTCTTCAAGACATCGCGTTATAGCTTACCACGAGGGCCAAATGGCTGCCCAATACAAAACGGAATTGAACTAGTTACCATCATCCCTATCATCAGCTATCTAATATAGTTAGGTGACGTTTATATAAAAATGCTGACTAATGAAAGGAATTGACTTAATTGTTATATCAGGACGAGATTCTGAAATGACTCGACATATGCAAGATATAAACGAAGTAGAAAATACGGAAGAGTTATAAAGTCAGTGACCCTTTTTGGTTTGTTAATACCCTATACGGTAACCATTACTTAATATTGTATTTCTTTATGTTCTGAGAGAACAATATACTTAAATAAATAGAGTGGTGTTTTATTTTAAAATTAGCCTATTTTAATATATACCTTGGCTATTAGTGGAGGGAGATTTAATAGAAATTTGCTTTTAGAAATGTAATTTGAATTAGTTTCTAATTGTGACAAAATTATAGAAAGAGCATTGAACATTTAGAGGTTTTTGTAGTTTGTACTCGGTTGTTGATTGCCGTTTTAGGATCGTCCTCGGGCCGGGTAGTATAATGATTTGAGAAAACCATGTAGTCATTGCAAAATACAATACTTATACAATGTGTCGTTGTAAGAGGCAACTAGAAGATCTCATATAAAAAAAAATCGAGATCAGCTTTCTATGATAGATCTGAATCCAAATCAAAATCGGGCTAAGAAAGGTACAGATACTATAGTATCATATTGTAACCCCTAATTACTTTAATAATAATGTCTTTACCGACAACCTACAACTTAGTTCACCAATTAGGTGTGCATTTTTTCCTTGATATGAAACTTATGAACTTGGACTGATCCAGGTTGACAGTTTCTGTCCATCCAAACATTGTCAGGAAGCGTTTGCAAAATAATGTATGGATGGCTTATTGTAGATTTGGGACATATTTTAAAGGATATGTGTAGATACTGTACTGTAGTGTAAATATGCTTTTTGAGGTGTTGCTGCTTTTTGGGTGGTTAGGTGGAAGCTGCAATGATCTCCACATCACTTTCACTTTTCCACCGTCGACTTGAGTCATATGTTAAGTCAACTGTGGAAAAATACTAAGCGTTTGGCAGGGAGGCAGGCAGGGCAGGATATGTTTGTTGATAAACCTGACATTTTTGTATTGTCATCTCTAACTGTTTTGCAAAGTATAAATAAATATCCCCCACCTCATTTTTAGAAAGGGATTTAAGCGAGAATCGCCTGGTGAGAATAATGAGGTGGTGATAATGAGGACGCCCATTAACATACGATTGTTGGAATGTTTCAAGCCCTAGTTTTGATTCAAAGAGCAAATATAACCATTATAATTTTATAAATATAAATTTTAGTTTTTCTAACTAGAAGTAGTAGTAAAATCAAAATAATCAAAGGTAAAAATATCAACACTACAGCTACATACAAATTCTTTTTGGCTAGAAATATCTTTAAATTACTTGGCCAAAAATGCCAATACACATTTTTATTTATGTCGCAAATTAAGTTAATTAATCCAATAACGGTTTTTCTATTGGCATTTAGTCATGGGGCGATAATTTGAAAATAGAAATGGACAATCCACATTCAGAACTAAGCTGCTAAAACAATGCAGTGAATTTAGCAACGAATACAACTTGGCATTTTGAATTTAGCTAAGAAATTCATTATGCCAAATGAATAAATCATTAAAAAAACAACAATATTCAATTTTTCCATGGACAGTTTCCAACGTCTTCACGTTGGTATGGTTTTTGGCGGGAATAATTTGGAATGTCTATCTGCAACACTAGCGCCACAGCTGAATGTCTATCGACGCACCCTTTGGAGTACTCAAACCTAGCCCCCACACCCTGATCTGCGCAATATCCGTTTAGCACAGATACAAATAAGCTTTTTAGTGTGTTGAATTGGATGCTTTATGATGCAGAATATCATGTGTATGGGACAAAAGTTCTTAAATATTGAAACACTATATTTATAGTACCAGAATATTTTAATAAGTAATATAATTATTATGTATGATTTTTTTTAATAAACTTTCATGGTCCACATATGTGTTCCAGCCTTTAAAGTCATTCATTGGACACGAATGTTTTGGCCAAGTTTTGCTATTTGAAAAGAATATTTTTTCTGGCAAACAAAGCCAACATTTTTGCAAATGCAGTCAACATCTGAGGCCAAGCATTTGTTTTCTTAGTTGTGATGTTTGCTTATCTCAAGTTAGAAACGAAAACAAAACAATGCGGTTACTTGGTACATTTAGAAGTGTGTGGAATCGGAAAATAATAGTTTGATTTTATGGAATTTTGTATTTACTTGTTTAGGGATAATTCAATGTAGACTAAATAGAAAAGTCTGAGCTGAATCCCATGGGTATGTATTCATAGAATTTCGTTTTGTTTATTGTTACGCATGATGTATTGTGCAATCTTTGTTGTGACGCGTCCCGTTGTTAGTAAACAAGTGACCTCGACTTCACTATTGTAGTTTTCAAGACTGGTATAACCTCTTTAATATATAATTAATCAGAAGTTTCTAAAAACTTTATTAGCCATCCAAGAAGTTGTGTACAGAATACCTATTTTATTTTGTAGTTTAGTGTCACTGACATTTTTTTCACACACTTCATCTATTTCTTCTTAACCCATTGACCTATATTTTTTTCAATATCTGCCTCAATATCGTTTAATTCCCTTTACAGAACTTCAAAATCAAGACCTTTTAATTAACCAAGATCAATTTTGAATTTGAGGTGAACTAAATCTGATGTTTTCAATCACTCACTCTGCCATTCCGTATCGTTACCGGAAACAGATCGGATGATTTATTACCTATGGCACTATTAAAAAGTTATGCTTAAGGCACGTCCACCTGGTTAATGAAAACGTCGCGACCGAATCATGCGACTGAAACTTGCGGTCAGAATGTCTGAGAAAATAAAAACTTTTCGATGTATATAGTCACAAAAACAATGGCCAAGGTAAATAATTGTAGTTACTTTCAAACAATAATGTAGATATAGATTCTGTGTGGAAAAACATGCTCATTATATTCCATGTAGAAGTGCATTCAAACTTTAACTTTTAAGTTGTTTCTTGTATTAAAGGTGTATTAGATATTATTTGTTAAAATATTTCGTTGCTGTTGTTTTGTATTTCATAAACGAAGGCTTCTATCATAAGCAACGCGACAGTGACGTATTTTAATCACGTAGCAACAGGCTGTTCATTGTGGACGCACGGAAAAATTGCACTTGCGCAATAGTAGTGCCTGCATCAATCAATAGAGCCATCCCATAACGCTGCCAGGCACGCCCGGTGTTGTTTGTCGCGAGCCATCTTTTTGGCTATCAAACATTTCTCGTTGGAAAAGGTCCGATAAATCCGTCAAGCTGTGTCGAAAAAATTCAATCGGTAAGTCTCACCATGTAGGTTTTCCAACTTTTGTCCAACCCTGTGACTTCGCTCGCGACGACCCCCTCACCCCTTATACTTCTGCCAAAGTCGAATTAATTATGCACTAGGATATGCCTTCTAACGCTTTTGCCATCGATTTTAGATATGTAGTTTGTGTCAATATAGCATCGCGGTTGTATGTACAATTCCTTTGTATTAGTACTGAATAAGGGGGGGTGGGCGTGGCCAATTATTATCGATCTTATCTGAAGTGCGTAATTAGGTAACAGTGAAGTGTATTGTTATACAATCTGCAACAAGTGATCGCTCGCGCCACAAAAATCGTGATAACTTGCTGCTCGCGATTATTTTTTGCAATTTTCCTTGAGCTGACCTAAAGCGAGTTATTTAACAAGGTTGCAAAGAGCTATGTGCCGTTTTCCTAAAACAATTTTGAAGCCCAGCTGTTGTCTTAGATTTCAAACTGTCTTGGCGTACCATAATAATAGGGTTCAGTCGCCAATATTCCGTCATTATGGGATCTTTGTTGATATTCTTATTGTATAAATTCCAGATATGACGCTCAACGCCTCGAGCGTGGCCAAGTGCCGCCAGTGGCGTAATGAGCTAGCTATGGCTAACCCGGATCCGACTCCGGTGTACGATATGTTCAAAGACATACCGCCGCAGCCGACCTATCCGACACATGTTTACACTACCACCATCTGCTGCGAGAAGGAGAACTGTGACAAGGCGAAGTTGGAATCCATGCCAGAGCACTTCTTCCGAGATCCCGGTAATAATCTAGTTGTGTTATTCGATTCCTATTATTGATTTGCGTTTGAACAGTAAAGCTACACATCTTAATTTAGACTATGTTTACTACGCAGCTACCCCGTATGGCGTGGCTCCTGAGTGCTATGATAATGGCAAGGGCGAACCAGCTGCTCCTCCCCCGGACCCGTACATCCAGGCCTATTGCCCCTGCCTGATCAACAGAGGCCAGCTGGTGACCATCTGCTGCGTCCGCCGTGACTGCGACGACTCCACCAAGATCCCGGGCGTCGGCCGCGAGCGCACCCGCAGCCCCAAGTCGTACAATAACAACAACCACAACAACAGCGGCAACAACTACAAATACTAAATTACTCTCGATCTCTCGGTGTTGTGAACATGTAAACCCCAGTCCCTTTTCATAAATTCACAAAAACTGATGTTAATTTCACAAAAATCAATTTCTTGTTGATAGGTAGCCAACTGTGCACACTGTTTTTGAACACTTTTAACTAAATTGTTACAATTTAGACACGAGTTTACCTAAAACTCATAATGGCATGTTGGAATTTACAGAAATCCTTTTATTGAGGGTTTCTTATTCTTTAGAAGTCGGGGCTTAACTTTTATAATAAAATCTATCAAAAAATTTCAGGGTTCACTTGTTTTACACAATTGAAAATGCTTTCAAGCAGGATTTCATTTCCTCCATACTTGATATTTTGTATTAATATTTATATCTATCCCATCGTATCGTATCATGAATTCCTTTAGTGTAACTTGATGTTGTCGTGTGGTATCGATGTTCGCTGACCGTATATACCAGTGTCAGATTAGGATAAGGTGATTGTATTGATTTGGATTGCTATCTGAAGCGAAACAGGCTGACAGTTTGAACAATCTTGCTAATAAGAGGTTTAACATCAATCGAGTGCAGCCAATCAGTCTAGTAACCCGTAGAGGAGCATATCGGAGGCTTTTCATTTATTAAATCTATTTCGACCATTTTACATTTTGACGATTCTCTTGTAAGCTATTTTTGATTGTATTTTCAAGTGTTTACTTTAGGTTTTGTTTAATTTATCATATCATTGTTACTTATACTTGAAAATGGACAAATTTATTTTTACTCTTCTATAAAAGTATTTTTCTTAGAAATTTTACTCAATGTTGGTATAACTAGTATTATCCACAATATCTACACATGTATACCTAATGTAGTTATCAATGTGGTAATAAAATGTCAAAAATAAAATGTTTCATTTCTCTCCTGTAGTTGGCCTGCAGAGTTTTTTAAACATTGAGGTTTAAGAATTGATATATGAGACTTACCAGCCGTTGTGGCTAGTATTCCTTTTTTCTGCTATTTTTTGTTGATAAAGATGAAAGAAGATGAAATATATAACTGGTAATTGTTATTTATGATCATATTATTGTCGTGATAATACTCTTCGGAACCCAAATGACACACTGCCTAATAACTTTCTTGCGATTAATGTTTCCTTTTCAGTAAAGCCTTTAAGTGCCAATAGCTGAGTATAGGCCTCTTTTCTAAGGGAGAAGGAATGTTCAACATTAATCACCACTTACTCAAGGCGCAATGGCGGTTTCAAACTTTGATTAGAAATTATAAGTCCAGGTTCCAGTTTTTACTTGCCTGGTTTTAAACCCGCGCCATCATGCGTGAAAAGCGGGAACCATTAACCAACCAATTTGTATCAATACGACTTTAACTGCAAAAAGGGTTCAGCAGATCTTTCTAAATATAAAGTATATTTTAATTATAATTTCTACAAATTTCTATACATACAAACGTATGTAAGTACATACAAGAACCAAGAAAAATTAAAGTTGATCAAAAAGTTTAATGACCTAGTCTCCAATAAAAGTTATAAAATAACATTTTCAATATAAATATCAATTTTTAAAATTTGTTTATTCCATTATTATATATTCATCTGATACTATATCGATTGTCTCTCGCCCTAAATACGAATGGCAGACATCTTGAAAAATCAATAAATCCTCCCTCGTTTTAACCAAGGTCAAACTTTATGCTCAATCACAAACATCCAACATTAATTGGCACATGTATTTCAACCATTATAAAGCATCGCAAAATATTCTTTTTCCTTTCACACATACTAAATTTCCCGAAGAACGAAAGAGACAAATGCATTTTCTTTGTCTATGATTTTTGATGTACATTACTGTGTCATGTCGCTAGTTGCATGTCTTAACATTCGTTGAATAGTCAATGTATGTCGAAGACTGACCAACATTTGACCAAGTGAGGGTGTTTTACGTATCATTTTAAGGGTTGAAACCTGGAGTATTTTGTAGGTGGCGAGTTGCTATAAGGAAAAATAGATTTAGTACTTAATGCGATATGCAAAAATTTAAGGTCAGAAAGTTTTAAAATAAAAAGTAAGAATATTAAAAAATATTTTATTTTCTAATTTGTTTTTAGGTTTTTGGCAAACATGGCTTGTATCTGCTTAAATTTATTTTCATATCTAGTAACTCTTTATCATGCGTTTTGTTAACGTTCAGTATTTACGCGGGAATTTGTGTAGTATTTGAATAAATATTGTTGTTAGAAAGTTTTCAGTTTAATTTGTTATAAGTTTAGTCTTGATCGTATGGCGCTAAAAAGCCGGTTTTGTACAGTCTGTCCCTGGGTTCATATTGCAAGGGTCAGTATTAAGTGTAGACGGTCCAGATGTGATCTTATTTATTTCAAAGGACGTCTTAACAAAGAAAGTTTCTTGTTGGTCCTACCCTTGATTCTTATTCAATGTAGGGATGAATGAGTGTAGATTTACAAATTGCTGGGTTGTGGCTGGGGCCCTTATCGTGATATAAATCAATTGTTGATTTAAGCGAAGTGGAGGAACGCCGGGGCTACTGGTTTAGCACAATAATGTTCCCGACCTAGGCCTGAGGCAGGTGAAGGAGGGGTGGTTTTTAGTCAGAAAGAGTGTGGTACTCCCTCCCGCCTCATCCAGGGCGAGAGAAACCACATGATGATTGATTGTCCCAATAAAAATATAAGAGATGAAGTGGTAAAGCCATGAAATAGTACCACCAGTAAGATTTAGAGCGAAACAGTAACTGTGTTTGAAGTAAGTATTATAAAAACTTTAAGAAAGTAGTTCATCGCAGGTAATTTATGGTGTAAAATTTTTTTAAAGATTTTCTATTGTATTTTCTTAGAACATATATCATTCTCAACGTTAGAGTTTCATAGTAATTGTTGCTAATCAAATATATGCAGCAGATCAGTAACAAAACGTAACCTCTTTTATTTGAAGTGAGATGCGGGATATATACAGATTCAAAAAGCTTTATGTTCAAAGAAGGTTCTAAAGCTAACCAAAAGAAACATGAAAAATCAAAACGTTTTCAAGTTTCATTAATTTTGCCTTTGGAAATGAAATAAGTTATAACATTTTATTCATAAACTAAAAGTAATTTTACATGAAACATTTTCTTTTTCAATTCGTAAATAGGAACGTATTCGAATATTCACCCTGTTTTACAACTAAGCTTTAAGCTCAACCAATCAGAAAACAAGAAAATCCATTGCAGCGTTGCTATGAAAATGGAAAATGAAAAGCTCTCAAAAGCTTCAGTGTATATCGAAAGCTGCGCCAACTTCACTCCGTTCTTGGGGTGGAAAGTTCTCGAAAAAGCTTAGTGCATGCATGTATGCCCTATAAATTTATATATAGAGGGTGGCAAAGGGAGGGTCGTAAATCAATCGCCAGACTCGGCCTTTCCGTTCGGGGCAGCCGTGCTGAGCAGACGACTTCCGTGTCACCGCGCCAGAAAAGCCGTTCCTGCGACTGACTTCGAATTTTCCGTAATGGCTGACGGTGACGAAGCGGGCGGCGATGATGCCGCCAGCGACGAAGCTGCTAGTAAGTACTGCTTTTACAGAAATATTATGATTTTAACCATTGTTTGTTTAAGGGGAATTGACCTTGTTGGTCCGGCGTCATGGACCTCTCTTTGTTCTAAGTGGTGGCGTCTTAAACGCTATTTTGAAGTGAATTGTTAAATTATTTCAATACTCTTTTAAAAATAAAAGGTTTTGAGCGAGGATTCAAGAATTTCCCGTTTTCGTATGCTGAATTTCACAAGAGGGCGATATTTAAAAATACTTAAAAGTCCCTGTGAAAATTAATCTTGTAATTGTGAATATTTCAGTTTTTTTTTAATATTTGCCATGGAAAAGAGTTTCCATTGAAGTATTTTTGAGATAATACAATTCCGCGAGCAGATAAGATGGCGTCGTGTGTCGGGGTTGACCACGCCTCTGACGCCCGCCATTGTTGACTCTTTGCAACTAATTGGTCGGTTATTTGTTTACAGATATGCAAAACCGAAGCGACCTGGTGCAGCAGCAGCCGTCCAAAGCACCGAAGGTGTACATGTACACCTTCGAGGAGTTGAAGACGATAGCTTTGGATGTCCTGATGGACCCGGAGCTGGAGCGTCACGGCCGCGTGTATCCAGTTGGCGTGCAGAAGCCGAAGTTGGATCCGTCCGACGTCGCTTTGCTCGTCAAATAGATACACGTCTCCGTGAGTATGACTCCCCGAACGCGGGGGGTCATTATGTCCTAATTATTTCGAAACCATTTACTTAACTCTAGTTTTAACAAGTTCGTTTAGATGTTAGTATTCATGTAATCGACGTAGGTTTAATAATCTAAATGTTTTGTCACATGTCTCTATGGCTTATCCGTTAGTACATCGCTTGATATAATAAGGAAATCATATCGTATCTTAATTTATTACGATTTTCTAGTGTTTGTAACAATATAACGTTACAGTGTAGGATACACGTAACCAGCTACGCATCCTATAAAATTATTTGTATGTAATAGGGTTTTTGTCTATTTTACTGTACTCTTTATATAACTAGTATTATATTCCGGTCTCTTAGCTATAAGTTACATTAAGGCTAAATGTTGCACATGAGTAAACTTATTAACTTGTACTAAGGAAATGTCTAACATGCTTCTTATTTTTGTTTTGAACCGTGTGCTGGGCGAAACCAGATCATACGGAGTTGAGTATCATATGTACGTAGGGTTTAAGGGTATTTAATCGCATTTATTGGACTAGTATATGAAGTTGAGTATCATATGAAGTTGAGTATCATATGTGTATAGAACGTAAGGGTTTGTAACCGCGTTTGTGGACTCACGATTATTACATACATTCAGAGAATAGAGACGACGTTCACGTACCGTAACCTCGTGTTAGACTAGGACACAGATGATCGTCATGCAACCGCACCAGTTAGAGAGTGCCAACTAATCTTAAGATATTGTCTCGTGATGTGTATATTGGTACCGTT